TGTGTGTGTGTGTGTGTGTGTGTGTGTGTGTGTGTGTGTGTGTGTGTGCCACAGACTCGTCACGAAGAACAATGTCATGTAAAAGTCGTTCCAGCTGTAAAACAAACCAGTTTGTGGTGAAACGTCTTAATTTGCAATCAGCACGATCTCATTTCACTGCGACTCAGTGAAAGACGAGCCCCTAATTCAATTCACTTCAATTTAGATTCCACAGATTATCTTTTCTTTTCTCTCTTCTGTTCTGTCCTTTTCTCCATAATTGTGCCAGAAAAAAATGTCCGACTTTGTTTTTTCTCCCTGCAGCGAGTTACTCTGACAAATCCACAAGAAAACAGTTAGAATGGAAAATATAAAACGAGGCTGACTGGAGGAGAGGTAAACAAAAATAAATTGGTGGCAGAAAAACAGAGGATGGACAGAAGAGAGGAGGAGGAGGAGGAGAAAGAGAGAGAGAGAGAGAAGGAGAGAGAGAAAGTGATGTTTCTCACAGTTCTCGTCCTGAGCCGTGCACTGCAGCGGGATGCCGAAGAAGGAAGTGTAGGAGTCGTTGTACCAGACCAGCAGCTCGGTTCCTCTGGGGATGTCCATACAGGCTCTGTAGAAGATACACGACCTGCAACACACACACACACACATCCTGTGTTTTCCCAGGTACTTTTACTTTTATAAAACATTGTGTTACACGTTCACATAGTTTTTTACAGTTTTCAAACTCATCTTTAAAGAGCGGGGTATCGATCTATTGGTCCAATCAGAGTGGGCGGGCGACATTAGACCTCTCTTCAAGTACTTTTACTTTTAATAAAGTATATTTACTTTACTCAAGTAGAAAAGTAAATGTGTTATTTGTACTTTTACTTCAACGTTCAGTCAGTCGGGCTCTGACTTAATAACGTGAAGCTGATGACTCATGACGGTTTATACATTAGAGATTGATCAGGGGTCAAAGGTCAGTGAAGTCCTCTCCTCTGAGGATCGTGAATATTAATAACCGGGACAAAGACAAACTGTCCAACGGGACACGTGACGTTTCAGTGACTCTGTCCAGGTCTGGAAACGCCTCTCGTCTGATAACAGCTCCACTTCACATCAGACCGAACCCAAATGATTTATGGGAAATATCTGGCGTCTCTCACTCTCCTCAGACGCAACTAACGGCCGCGATGCCAGCGAGCCGAAGGTTCCCGGGTCACGCTGATGCTAAAACAACACCTGACCCGCTCAGAACCACGGTCCTGACAAAGTGAGCAGTTCATATCCAGACGTTCCCACACACTCGGTGTCAGACGGACACGATCGTAGCCGAGAGGTCACAGGTTCAACTCTCACACGTCTCCCACGTTCTACTGCCAAAGTGCCTTCGAGCCAGAAAACAAATGACTCCTCTGCAAACAGCTTGAGAAGAATTCTCACAGTGAGGAGACGTTCAATCACAAGCAGAAGTGCTTTTTAATGTGAAGATGATTAGAAACACGTTGGATTTCCTCGTGTGTGAAGTTCGACTTCAATAAAAAGCTTCAGTTCATCGTCACTCTGTTAAAACATCATTTAACAACCGGAGAGCTCAACGTCCACGACGCAAACACAAACACCAAGCTGCGTAAAGACGTGAACTGAAGTCTGGACGTGTTCCTGGAAGGTTCTGGAGGTTCTGGAGGTTCTGGAGGTTCTGTCAGAGTGAGTCCATGTGAGAAAACAGCAGGAGAATGTGTTTGGAACCTTCTCAGTGAGCGAGTGGACGTGGTGATGAGGTTTCTAACACGTGACGTGAAACCGGAAGAACGAATATCTCAGGATGAAGAAGAGGAGCAGAACTGCGTTACTCCTCCGGCCCGACTACGTTAACTGATATTCACCAAAACGTGCGTGTGTTTTGAAATACTCACATTTCTAAAGTCTGGACTCTAATGTTCCACATCAGCAGGTTTATGTGTCCGCGCTGCTGACACCTAGTGGCCGGAGGCTTTATGTTCACAGGTTGTCTGACTTTGAACAAAACATCTCAAGAGCGATTTGAGGAAATTTCTCCAAATTTGGTACAAACGTTCAGTTGGACTCAAAGATGAACTGATTCGAATTTGGTGGTTGAAGGACAAAAGTGAAGGTCTGAGGGACGGACAGACGGGGAACCTGAACATTTGACAACAAACTGAACCGTGCAGGTGATTTTTATCATTTGTTCCTGTCGGACATTTATTAAATCAACCAGGTTTGAATTCCTTCATTTCAGATGTGATTTATATGAACGACTCTGGACGATTCATCACAGTCACGATTAAGACGACTTTCTTTTTACTGTCAAAGCGACTCTGAGGGGAAACGAGGAGGAATTAACAGAGAGAATGAGAATTTGAGAAGAGGAAAAATAATTAAAGGAGAAAAAGCTGAATAGACTGAAAAATTAGGGCGGAGACAAAAGAGAGAAAAAGTTAAAGAATGAAGAGGAGGAGGAGGAGGAGGAGGAGAGTGGGAAACTCTCAACTGAATGACACCATGCTTATTTAATGAGGAGACCCCGCCAAAGTAAAATACCAAGACGTAGAAAATGAAAGGTTGAAATGAAAGAAAGACTGAAAGAGAAACAGAGAGATTAAAATAGAGGAAAAGAGAAGTAGAGGAATACAGAGAGAGTGAAAGACAGAGGAGGATATTTCACAGTCTTAGTGTTTATGATGGTGAATACCTCCAGAAGTTTCTGTTATATATATACATATATAATTTTACAGTAGTACTACAGTAGTCGTGTACAGAGCAGCTCGCTCCAGTATCAGCTGATGTATGTAAACATGAACGGATGCTGATCAATGACTGGAAATAAAGATGGACGACTTCTCCTCCAGAAATGAAGCTCAGTTATCTTTAGCCGCTGATGATGACGTCATGCTGAGTCTGTGCAGCGGTGATCGTGGTCTCCATGTTAGCGGACGGGACGTGGACCAAACTAAGAAAATCTAAGTTGACTCAATGTTTTGGAGGGAAGTGGAAACATGTCGTTAATGTTTATTGGAGTCACACGTGATGTGGAATAATTTCAGATTTCAGAATTAAATGTTTTAAAAAGTTTTCCAGGAAGGAATAAAAAGATGATGGTTTATGTTCTGATCATGAAAAACTGAGACAAACTCAAACAAGCGTAAAACTATTTGTTTCCCTTTTTTCTAGAATTGAGAATCAAGATGGTAACAGAGAAGATCTCTCTGTGTGTGTGTGTGTGTGTGTGTGTGTGTGTGTGTGTGTGTGTGTGTGTGTGTGTGTGTGTGTGTGTGTG